TTTAACATTTAAGTAAAGGACATAATGGTGTAGAGGATTTCTCTATCTGAACTCCTCCCAGTACACTTCTGTGAGGATCCAATGCTAGCTACTGCGTATTTAATATATAATTTTTTAAGAAAAGGAAATTTCCCTTCTGCTCTTGTATATTCTTCTTTAACAGCCAAAAACAGAAAAACACAAAAACACAAAAACCATGAATTTCATTCGTTCCTTAGATAATGCGTTTGATAATCAACTTTTCATAATTAGGTTTTTTATTCTGTTCTTTTTGGATTTAATCACATCTTCTATTGTTCTTCCTATTATTCTACCTGGTATCCTATATATTATAGTTATAAGGATCCAATGCTATACACACACAATACACGCGCACACACGCACAAGCAATTTATTCTTTTAATATTCTTTTCTTGTATATTCTTCGTTAACCACAAATGAAACAATTCCATTATGTCTTGTAGTCATTATAGGAAAATGTCTTATATCAAGAAAATAAAAATGACAGTACGTTCTAAATAATCATGCGTCATGCATCTATTACAAATTCTTTCCATAAATAAGTCCTTGGCGGTTCTTCTATAAGGTGTTTCACCTAACAAATCCATGTCTTTTAAAGTTGTTGTGTAATTTAATTTGGTCATTTAGAGCATTCATTGTTCAATCTAGAATTATTCAATGGTTAAATTGTTCCTGAAGCTAAAATAATAAACCTTGCGTAATCGATTACTTTTCTCTATTAAGTGTAATTATATTGCATCCTTACAAGTTGTCACACTCTATCTTCATATTTAAAATTATGCTCAGAAGTGGGAAGCTAAGTTATGACAATTAGCATATATATATATATTAGACTAATTGTTGCATGGGTGTTGAGCTCTATGATTGATTCTTTGATTATATATCCAAGAACTTTTCTTCTTCAGAGTTTTTATTAAATCGAGATTGGAATGAAAGATCGATTGATAGAGACGCTGCTCAAAGGCACGCTTAATGATGTGGATGTTTCTTCCACAAAATAATAGCATATGCATATATGTTGTGAATCTCTCAGGGTTTTGTTAGCTTTTAACCAGTACACCCTCAAAAACAATTTTCATTGAGGTTTAATGTTTTGTATATGAATTAAGAAATTTATTTGTATTTTAAATTTTATGAGAAATCATTACCTAAGTTTGTATTATATCTTTTATCTGTATTAATTAATTTCTTATTTATCTATCATCCTGTATCAAACAAATATTAATTATTAAGGATAAAATTATTTAAAAAATATTAATTATTCATTAATTTTATAAAATAATCAATGATAAAAATGAATAAAATAAAATAATTAAAATGACAAAAAGACATAATAATTAATTGACGCAACATTTTTCATCAATTTTTTGTTTGATTAATATTATTAAAATTAATTTAAAATAATTGAAAGTACATTTTTCTTTAAGAAAGTTTTATATAAAAATAATATACTTTTTTTTTATACTGAATAAGACTTTGCATTCGCAACTATTTAAAATATTTTTAACGATTGGTATTAACAAAGTTAATCGCGATTTCTTTTTCAAACTAATCATGTTTGATTTCGAATGTTGTAATTGGCCAAAGCATTAGTGAGACTGAGACATCACATATGTTTTCTTTTGTAATTAACTCTCTATGACTCTATCAATATATTTCCTTTTATGGTTCCAAAATCAAAGCAAATCATTAGAATTGGGTATGTTCAAAGGGACGTAGAGCGTAAAGATGATGAATTATTGTTTAAAATGGGCTGCCAAAACACAAGCACGCATAAAATAGCAATATAGACGGAATAATTAATAAATAAAGGTATCATCAGTGGAATAAATATATACTTAACCATTAAGGTTCTAAGGAAGGAATGAAGGACACGGGAGTGACGCGTTAGGGAAAACCATAGGGGAAGCTTGAGGAATACAAAAGATGAGAAATGGGAGTGTAAGAGTAAGAGATTCTAGTTTCTGTCACGGGTCATGTAAAGAGGTCTCCATTCACCCACTCCGTAAGAAAGAGAAAGAAAAAGGCTAAAGGTGTTGAGGAATTGGAGGATGTGATTTATCATTTGTGGGAATAATAGTGGAGGATCTTCTATCTTCTATCTTCTATCTTCTCTATGGTATAATGGCACATCCAAAGTTCTACCATAGGGGAAAGGATCCTTAAGGATATGTTGTTATTTAGAGAAATAATATCATATTACATTAAACTTAATATATTCAATTTGGGGTGTTGTAATTTCCAGCATGTGATTCCTTCCCATATTTATACACGTAATATCTTCTTCTTCCGTAACTTGAGACTAGTTGACGTGAGATATCATTTCACAGCTTTGTGGTCTAAGGAAAAAGTCACAAAGATTTAAGATTTGTGGTACTAATACTATTTTCTGCCACTTCAATGAATGACGTTATCAACTCGAATGGTTCACTTCGAAAAGGAATTTTTGTCGTCCGGATCACAGATTGGTGTGTTTCATTTGAGATAAGACACCCCTGCATGGATATTATTTTCTTTTCTCTTTCTTATATAATAATACAAATGGGTATTTTATGTCCCTAGTTATTGTAACACTAAAAGCAATCAATTCATATATATCAATTTATAATTGAAATTAATTGAAGGATTAATACGTATCTTTATTGTTAATAATTAATGTAGATAAATATAAAGACTTTTTGTATAACCTTTACGGAAATGATGTAATTTGATTATAGAATATAATGAAAATGTTGTTTTCGCAATTCATGACGAACATCACTCTAATATTTAAAAGTACGACTCATATTTTCTTATTATAGTTGATTTTAAAATAATGTTCTCTTTTATTGAGTGGGTTTGTCAATTTACATTGCACATTCCTTACGTAACAAAAAAAAAAGCGATATATATTTCAAAATCATCTTTTAAATTTTTAATAACTTAAAATTTTGATAATATTTGAGTAAGAAAGCGTATGCAATGTGTTCTTCCTCTTGTGTGCTCCTCAAAATGTCGGCCACATGTTGGATTCCTTCATCATTTTCCTTTTTTTTTTTTTTTTTTTTTTGTAAATAAGCAGAACAAACAAAGCAGTTTTAATGCAAACGGGGAAATATGGACCCGCAGCCACTATTGATGCCTCTGTGCAACTTATATTTAAATTTGTTACGGAATTTAAGTATAAATTATTAAATACCTGGGGTGTTATTTTTAATAAAAGTATAGCATGTATATGATATTTTAATAACCTTACATTTAAAAAATTCTTCCAGTGAAGATGTAAAAAGTAATATTCGTATTATACTTTTATTATAAAACCGTATCATGAGCACCTAGAGAATTTTATATGAATTTTATTCTGTAATTTATGCATAAAAAGTTATTTTGATTCTCTAAGACTCGTAAAATGATGTAAGTTTAATCCTCTAATTTTAGTTTTTGTAATTTAAGTTTAATAATTAGTGTAAATTCCTTTACATATATGTTTGATGAAAAGTTAGTCCACGCACTATTGCAATTACGAGATACATTCAAGAATAATCTTCCTGAGAGGGTTTACATTTGCCCTCTCCTTAACAGTGTGATTCACTTATGGTGCACTGAAAACCATTTTTAGTTGACTTGAAATAATTGCAAGTATTTGAACTATTTTATTGAACGAGAAAAATCAGAATTTTCTTGACTATATATACATTTTTTTTATTTCGAAAGTTTATATCTTCTTTTATTCCTTGAATTATTTTTTTTATCCAATTTAATTCTTGAATATTTTAATTAACTCCTATTTTAGTGTTTTCTTACAAAAATATAAGCAAAATTAACATATGCAGGAACCAAATTATATAAACTGACACTTTTGAGGATCAATTAGTTCTCCAAAAGACTAAAATATATTCGATGGTAAAATTATATAAAGCAAAACTTCTAAGGATAAAAATTAAATGAAGTAAAAAAAGTATTATTTAGAGACACCTTATTAAAAAAAAGGTGAAAGTACAGCTTAAAGTTTAAAATTTGGGCCTTTCATATAAGATGCCCACCCATCCTGTGACTTTATTGTGTTATATAATGGGTCCATGGGTTGTATGCCACAATGGGTTTGATGAAGGGGGAAAAAACAAAAAGACAAGTTTGATAGATGGCAATGACTAAACAAAAGCTTTATTTGATGCTGTGTTTTCCACCCAGCAGGAAAGTCGCACTTTAAAATGTCCAATCTAAATCTTCATCTTCCGCAAGTTTGAAGAAATTAGGAAGCCTAAAAAGGGGTTTATTTTCCGTTTCATTTTCACTTAATATTACCTTTTAATGTTTTATATTTTTAATTTTTTTAAATATATTTAAAACAATACCTAAACAGCATAATAATAATAGCATATATATATATATATATATATATATATATATATATATATATATATTCACCCTGTATTGCCTGGCAGAGAGTCTCTTACTCCATAAATCCCCTCAACGACAAACCACATAAGCTCCTTCATGCCCTGTTACACTATAGTGGAGATTCTAACACATCCTTAAAAGCGCTTTTATATTCAAGCAATTTGATTGATTGATTAATTCAATTAAACAATTATAAATTAATTGTAAGCAACAAGTCTGCTGAATTAATAATTAATGAATGAGTAATAAAAGATATGTAATGAAGAGATAATATAACACACTCCGTTAAATATTTTTATTATTAGCTAACATTTATGTAAGATTACAAAAATCATGAATCTTATTCTTATTTTAATGATTACACTCATACTTTCACATCTTTCAATAAATTTTAACTGTGTTTTAAAAAATAAAATTGCGTGTACCTAACTTTCTTCATGTTAATAAATGATAATTTCAATTTAACAATTAATTAATAATGTAAGACATGTATAATGTATCCATGTATAATAGTAAAAGTGGAAAAACTTTACTCCTTTGACCCGGTCAGTTTTTCATTCGTAAATGCCACAAAATAATTATTGCCCAATAACTTTTTACAATCTGTTAACGTTAAAATTTATTTTGAAATAAAAAGTGTATATCAAAAATATATCATAGACCTTAACCGTTAATTATCTAATCAAATCAACCGTTAATTTACCCAGTGCATAGTATGGATAATTTATCAAGTATAACACATTTATCAATGCAGTCATACTAGTTACTCTCTAAAGTAAATCCCTCCCTTTAGATAAACTAAATCCCTTAAGGAGCATCATAAAAATTAATATTGTTTAGTATGATTAAAGGTTATCAACGGGAAAATAACACAACAAATAAGGTGTCCCTTTGATCTCCCACTCCATGCCTATTGTCCACCAATAAACCATCCATCCAGCTATGATACAAGCTATATCCGTTGGCATAGATGCTCTTCATATGCCTGTACTTTTTCACATACACAGCCATACAGTGATTCGAACTTCGAATGTGGAGGAAACATGATTTTCCCTTAACCACGATATCATAGAGGAATGTATAAATGACAAAACAGTTTTGAATAGATCAAGTAACTACAGTAGCTTCCCTTAATCCATTATTTTTTAAATTTGTTAGTGAATAAACAAAAGATGATTAGAATCCTGAATCTTGAAAATTTCAACATCTCCTTTTCCTTCCCCCAATCCCCCTCTTCCAATGACCAAAAAAATAAAACGAAAGATAGATAATATAAACTATCATTGAAGTTTGGTTAACACACATAATTCCATTCTTACACAGAACTTGCACTCCCCCTACTGAATAATGGCAGTGAAGGCGAAAATATTCCATAATCCATACGACATATTCTTACTTACTTAACCAAAGTTATCCAGAATATGAAAAAAAATAAATGAAGGACCATAGAAGACTTCAATGGCATCCGAACCAGGAAAAGCACATGACACAACCCATCAGCTGTAACAACCCAAAGAACATACTCACCTTAACTCTATCTCCATATTGCACCAGCAAATTGAATTGCCCAAACACATAGAATCATGAGCATGATCCAAAATTAGCAAGCAAATATCAACCCAAGAAAAATGTACAAGCCATCCTCACTGTACAACACAACAGTCACAACATCTCGTCCCAACCAAAATCAGAAATCAGAACCAAATCAATTGGCCCTTAGAAAACCTTAACCATAAACTGCAAAAGCCCCCACCAAAATATAGACCATTGCATCCCTTTGCATGCAACTAAACCTCCATTGTGAGCCACTATAAAACCACCATCATTGACCTCACTAACCCACTCAAACACCTATTTACAGGGAACAACATTTGCAATCAAAGTCATCAAGAATGAACACCATCCTAGCCATGAACCACTTTGAGCAGTCCATGCACAACCACTTAAGCCAAATTAAGCACAAAATAGCACCATCAAATCACCATCAAACACCGCCCAAACCCACATTATGCCCCATAACCACTTTCCCAAGTTACAAATCCATTGACCCCCTTCATATCACTACCCAGCCATGAACAGCCACCATGAATATCCTGCCACCAACACAAACCAGCCCCAGCCAGAGTTGACCCCCTGGTAGAACCCAGTATGACACCCTCATACTGTACGCCCTCATCATCCTGGTTAAGCTTGTGATCATAACTAAACTATGGTTAACTATGGTGGGTTGGACAACAACACATTTACCACCATCCATTCAGGGGGGTGGAGTGCAATTTTTGTGTAAGAATGGGGTTATATTTCAATTAACCATGCCTATAGAGGTTTGTGTCATTTACCCAAAAATATATAATAGCACAACTCATTAATCCTTAATCTTATGTAAAGGTCCTAGCTCAGCCATAGGTTCATGAAACTTCAGTAATATGGTCCCAAAGATGCAACCAAATATGGTTTTACAGCTTTTTTTTTTTTTTTTCTTTCTGAGTAGGTAGCTGATTTTGATAATCATTGGTCTTACACTAAAGTTCTTTGTATCCATAAAAAAATACGGATGGCCAAAAATTTAGAGGGTGTGTAGATAGCAAACTGAGAAGGAAGTGAAGGCATTGTGGCCCAGGATTTTATAATAAATCACTGTAACAATGCTTGAGAGAAGATTTAGAAACAGGTAGTGTATACAGGCCAAAAATGACAGACAAGGCTAAGAACCCAGCCACTGTAGAACAAATATGAATATATAAAATGTAGGAAAGCTAAGATGGCAAAAAACTCACACATGTTGAGCTGGTTATGTATGACACAACAACTGTTATGTCATCAAGCTTGCCCCCATAAAAATGGTACCCAGCCTCCTGAGCAGCAGTAGAAAATGGTGTCTGCCTATTCCTGTCCAGTGCTCGCTGACGAGCCAATGCTGCTATCTGCTGTGCAGTTATTTGAGGTTCTAGTCCAGCGCTAACTGCCTGTAGAACAATTTCAGCAACCTCATTGTTGTACAGATTGTCAAACAATCCATCTGTTCCAGCGATGACGACATCCCCTGGGGCAACAGGTATTGTAAAGACCTGGATATGTTATTGCAAAGGATCTATTAGTCTGTTTAATTTTTTTGCAAATATATCAACTTGATTTGAAATACAAGAACTTCATCTGCTATGTGTTTCCTTGGGAATAATTTGGGATGATGATTGTCATGGGACTTAAAAAACAAACAATAGGGTGCCAGATAATTTTATTGTATTAGATTGATAAATGTTAAAGTGGAATGGAAGAAATTGGTGGTAATAAAACTTTGATCTGCAAATCATCTTACACATGCTCAATATACAAAAGTCACAAGAATGTTGAAAATGAGATGCATTTAACTTTCATTTTCACCCCCTCTACCATGAAACAACAACCTCTCTATTGCTACTCCCCTCTCCCTGACCTTTTTTATAAAACTACATCTGTCTTCTGTTTTTTAATCACCTTTACCAATCACACCCCCAAGTCTCAAGAAATCTATCATAAAATAGGATGAAAAAAAAGACATTTCAAATGCCAATCTATTTTTTCCGTTGCTTCGTATATTAATCATGAGAAGTTGAAGAAAGGTGCTGTGAACTCTCTGTTTCATGGCACATGTGCAGTATTATCAGAAATGGTAAGACTATACTGCCTCATCAAGTACTACCAGCATGGAATCAATAAGAAACAGGTGAGAATGTACTATCTCAACGAATTAGTGCCTTAATTTTGAGACTTCCCTATGCCTAATGTAATATCCTTAGAAGTAAATTTTACGTGCAATTTCATGTGAGAACTTACCTCACCAGAGCTTGGTAGATCACCTCCATTGCCACTCTCCAATTGATAAGTAAAATTGAAGCCATGCTGCTGAACAGGTGACCTGAAAATGGTGCTTCCATCTCTAACCACAATGAACCCACTGTCACCCAAATTAATGGCATGTAGTCCCTGGACCAAAAAACCAAACACATAGTAAGCAAATTCAGTATATGATTTACTCTTCCTTGTATACTCAAGAAAGCAAACCATTGAATTTTTACAGGCCGCAAACAAATGGGATTCAGTCAATCAAGATGAAGGCTAAATAAAACATCAAGAACATAGGGCTTGGGAGCAGAGTAGACAAGTAAATAATGTGTGCATAGTGGAGGTGCTCATGCCCCAACTGTATATATTAACAAGTATGGTAGAGAAAAATAAATCAACACATGAAGAAAAAATAAGCTGGCAAAACTCAGCATGCTTTAATTCTACTACCTAAGCCATTTAACTAGCTTTTAAAGGAGCCTAACAGCAGAGACATGCTAAACTCATCTCTATCATTGAAACCATAAATCTGATTCTGGATGTAGAAAAAGAATCTTCTTTTATTGTACAACATTTTACATCAAACATAATGCTATAAAAATACAAGTGTTTGGGAGACGCATAGTTTAATGTAATATTAATGAAAAATATCAATAAAAAGCAAAATCACAAAATTGTTTATCAAAGCAGAAGGGGAAAAAAACAAATATTTAATATTCAGTAGCATTAAAGATGCAATAAAGAAGCTTGCCCTCAATCTAGTTTAGCTCTAAGAAAATGGAGAAAACTATTTTGCTCATAAAAAACCTTAGAATAAAAAAATATAATACCGCATCTGTAAGGGCAATAATACAAGCAGTTGATGAACCCTTGGCCTTAGTACATGAGTGAGCCTTCTCTAAGACCCTTGCTGGATTAATAGAACCTTTGGGCTCTTCTTCAATTGCTTTGACAGAATAGGACATAAGTTCTCGAGCAAACACTCCAGCATTAACACCAACATCTGCCCAGCCACCTACACCATCTGCAACACCAATTACTTGTTCCTCTGTGCAAATAAAATGCGCATCCTCTCCACCCGTGTCCTCCTTATCCGGATGCGGAAGGTAACATGCCCCTGAAAACAGCTTCAACCTCTCGCCACCAACATTCGTTCTGAAAACAAAATTACTCAGAAATTAGGATATCTAACTCTTAGTCGTGGGAGAAACAAAGTAAAACAATAAACCTTTCCTTTTATCTGATACTAAAATTCCCCTTTTCAACTAATGTTTAAATGAAGCCATGAGCTAAAATAACTGATGCATACAGTATGGTTATAAGTGTCAATCATTTTAATTCTACATTCATAAAATCTTCGCTTTAATCTCTAAATTTGCATAATAATAATAGTAATAAGAGACACATACTGGTGGACTGAAAAGGTTGAGGTTGCAAGGTTTTGAACATCACGCGCGGCCCCAGAGGAGAAGCAAGCGAAGGACGTATTCTTGGGCTGAAGAAGCGAACTCGTATTCCAATGCCTCCAACTTGTAGAACACCCAAAATTCAAAACACCCCTTAACGTTTGTGGTCTTCTGAGATTCACGCTCGCTCTCAACCCTCCTTTACTAAGTGTTGTGTCTCTGAAGTGAACACCGCAAGGCTTAGCAGTGACGTCATCCAAACAAACATCTCCTAGAAGCACAACATGCGAAGCCGAAGCAGCCATCAAGGTCTAATGCAAAGAAATGTTCTCCTTGCCACTACTGCTTCACCACACGTTACGGTTTGGGAGAATGGAAGATGGTTCTGAGATGGATAAGACAAAATCTGCTATGGCAATTTTTGTCTGAACTGCGGAGAAACCTAAAAAGCTTGGAGATAGATTTCCAACTTGTATTCCAATTTTCCACCAATTTCTTCCCTGTATGTTTTTATTTTTGTGATTCAAATTCAAATTGTTTTTACTTCTTATTTATTTATATATATTTCAAGTTCAGCTGAAATGTTATAGTGAGGATTTGTTACCGATCTAATACGATTTGATATACAAATTAATCATTTGGTGGAAGTTTAAATTTTTTATGTATTGTAAATATGACTTGCTATTCTTGTAAGTCGCATATTTTATATTCGATTTGTATGTTTTGTAAATATGCCTCCAGTCAATGTATGACTTGCAAGACCATTGACAAAAAGATGTGTCAATAATTAGTTTACTAAAAACAAAGCTATCACGTTTAAGTGTCATTTGATTTGCCATCTGCACCCTATTATACATCTATACTTACTATTTCATGAGCCATTTTTTTCATAATTTTATATATTAAATTGACAAATATTTATAATTTTACGAATTAAAACTTTTAAAATTTATAGTTTAAATTTCTAGTAATTTTAAATATTTAAATGACTGATTTTATACTTCAGATATTAAAAAGATTAATTTTATAAATTTAAAAACTAAAATAATTAAAATTTAAGGATTGGAAATTCTTTTTCATAACTTTCAAAACTAAATTAATATATGCTTATAATTTTGGTAAAGGTTAGGATAAGTTAATAGATTAAGTAACTCACAAATAAATTAGCAAAATAACTTGCTATAGTAAGTTTTAAACATTTAAATATTTAAAAATTAATCCTTAATAAATTTTATAGATAAAAAATTTCAATCTTTTAGATATTTAAAATAAATCTTTTTTTAACTTAATTCTCTTTAAGGTTATTATCATTTAAAAAAGAACATGATCTTTTGTTCATGTGAAATTATATATCATAATCTCTCAAACTCACTCACATTTTTATTTTTAAAGCAAGATCAAGAATTTATTTTATATTTCCAATATAAAATTCAATGATAAATTAACTGGTTATAGTTGAAACTTATTTGATAAAAGTTTGAAAAGAGTTATTCAAGGCAAGAGATCTAATGTAATTAGGTAATCCTTTCTTGAAATATTGTTGTAGAAATTTTGTTCAATTTATCCTTCTCCAATTTTAATTCCTTCTTATTTTTCTTCCTTAATAGTATGCAAACCCCTTTCTGAAATTTATCCTAAACCTACATAACTATTCTCTCTTTAAATTATTATACTTTCAATTATGATATTTGTAAGTGAAACTAATTAAATTTTAAAATATCATATACTTATCTCAATTGTCTTACAAATTAATACTTCACAATTTGCTCAAAATAGGTATAATGACTAAAGAGATTTTATTGAGTTAGAAAAAATGCACAAAATTCATACGCTGTAATTTTCGCTTAAGCAAAATTTAGGAAAGTAATGAAATACTAAATTTGTTGAAATTCACTTAAACCAACACCCATACGCTTAAGTTAATCGAGGACAAAGATAAATATAAAATTTGCATTAAAATTTGTTGAAGCTAGCATTATTTAGCTTAAGCTAGAATAATTTAACTTAAGGGAAGATCTTAGCTTAAGCATTCATTTTTTTATGATAGCTTAGGTCAATGTGTTTGAAACTCTTACTAACAATGGTGTTACTTATCCTTCAGGTGATTATTTTCTTAGAACGTGGCATATGACAACTCAATGATAGTTTCTCCAATTAGTGGATTGGTTGTGCAATTTCATAATCCGAATATATCAGGATTGTTACTTAATAAGCAGAGAACATTTGTGAAGTTTTACATATTACTGTTACATATCTGCTTTATCTCTTCAGTCACCGCTTAAGCAAATATAATATTGGTAGGTTTTTTTTATAAAATATGACAACCGCTTAAACGGTATGCCACATGCTTAAACTCCGAAATCCACTAAAACTTTGCTACAGCGATTCACATCTATCTTTAGCCTTAATATTCATTCAAATAAATGTTTTCTGCATCAATTTCACTTTGACTAATATTCATGCACTTAAGGGATTTAGATGTTGTAAGATAAATTAAAGTTTTAGCTTAAACATAGCTTAAGAGCGATACTTTTAGCTTAAGCTAGACATCATTTGCCTAAACTACATTTATTTCGCTTAAAGTAAAGTTATCTTGCTTAAGTTATGTTTATTTTGCTTAAGCTATATTTACTTGGTTAAAGCTAGTTTTTATAAGCTTAAGCAATATAATATTAGCTTAAGCACTCAATGTCTCGCTTAAGGGCGCTTAAGCGATATAAATTTAGCTTAGGCGGTATATCATTAGCTTAAGCGAAATATCGTCATTAGCTTAGGCAAAATAGTATTAGCTTAAGCAAAGTAGTAAGCCCCTATCATTTGCTTAAGCATGATAAAAAATTATTACTTAATTTATTTTATAGACCCATTCATATCTTCACTTAAATTATAAATTTAAATTTAAAAATAAAATATATATTTAATTACATTTGTTAATAACCATAAAATACCACCAGTCCAACCTGATGCAATTTAATTAATTTAATATTAGATTACTCAACTAAGTAATATGTTATGGACTCAAATCGCAAACTCAAAATAGAATAGTATAAAAAGTAAAGTTTTCCTATTACTTTTAATTTTGTTATTATTTATTACAATTTCAATTTAGGCATACAATTCAATTATAAAAGTCAAAGAATGAATTTGGTAAAGCTTTTTAAATATTTAAAATCTAAATTAAATAGGTAAAATGACTATTAAAGAACAATTTTTTTATTTGTTAAAGTAACTTGAATTAATAGTAACTAGTATGTTTTGGAATGGTATTGAATCTTTTAGAATTAACCCAAATTATCATAAAAAGTCAATAATTGTTATTAATTAGTTAACTCATCATTACAATTATAAAAACAAGGAATAGTATAAGGTGGAGGGTCATCACATTTGTTTCAATTTTTCTATATTACTATTTTTAACCATTTTAATTACTTTATTATTATTCAAATTTTAAAACAAACATCTTAAACCGATTCTAATGAATTTTTCAATTTTAAAATGGTTGTGAATATATATCACTACTATTGTTTTATTTTTTTACTTAATTTGATAAGTTTCTTAATATAACTCATTATACAAAAATTTATAAACAAATTGACCATATAATGACTCATACAAAATAGTTTATTTAATAATAGTTTAATTAAGGTGTGTTCTCAAACAAACCCTAAATTAATTAAACTATATAATTCAAATATTACTTTTTATCATAAAAAAAAGCTTGTGACATTAAAATTTGCATGCTCTTATAAATGATCTTAATAAAATTTCTAAAAACCATATTTGTCATTGCTTGAATATTCTTAACAAATTCAAGTACTTTCAAAGGTTTCTTCAAGAGCCTAATTCTTACATATTATAGTCTTCATCTAGGAATGACAATGGGTAAGGTACTATAGTATCTATCCCTGTACTTGCGTTGTAAAAAAAACCCCACCTAGCTCTATACTTGCGTGGGTAAGTAACTTTAATCGTTGTGTCTATACCTGCAACCATCCCCATTTCTTAAATAAATTGTTATATAAAATTACTTATAAAGAAAAGTATGTTTATATAACTTCACCTAAGTAGCATAATAATACAAAAATTTAATACATAGTTGTAAAACAAAATTTGAGCATAAATAAAAATTCAAATATGTAGCATAATATATATATATATATATATATATATATATATATATATGTATGTATGTATATATGTGTGTGTGTGTAGATATAAGGTGGCGTGGGTACTTAGGTAACCATACCCACACCCATCTCCATTAAAATTTGCAGGTTTTTTTTATACCTGTTTAGTAGGTAAATACTCTATGCATTGCGGATAAATTTTATGGGTACCCATCGGGTACTTTACCCATTGTCATCCCTTAGCTCTTTTTTTTCATATAGTAAAATTTTGATATAATTACTAATTGTGACTTTTGATATATATAAATTTTAAAACATACTTCCCAAATCTATCTTTGCAGCGTGAATCATTTTGATTTTAATTCTAAATTAGATTTTTATAATTCAATTCCTTAAAATCAATATTTAAAATAAGGATTAAATACGAGATTAGTCCCTACAAATATAACACATTTTGTTATAAGTTCTTATAAGATTTTTTTGTTAAGATTTAGTGAGATGGCTAACAGAGAGTGGGCTCAACACTCCTACGTCACTATCATGTCATTTAATTTTTTAAAATATTTTAACTTTAATTATGTTTTTTGTCCCTATAAATGTAACACGTCTTATGATAGGTTATTATGAAGTCTTTTGTTGGGATTTATAATATGAAATTGCCAACTTAGTACTTAACAAAGAGAAAATTGATGACAAAGACTAAATCTTAACTTGTTAGCATTTTACGAACTAAATCTTAATAAAAAAAAGAAAACTTTACAAAAAATTATCACAAAATGAACTATATTTATAGGAACAAATCATATATTGAAGCCTTAAAATAATTAACCCCTTGATTATCCTTCCGAAGATAAAACTAGTTTAGTTTTGATTTGCATGACTTCAAAAGGATTGAATGAAACAATCAATTTTATTAATACATATATTCAATTATCAAATAAAAATATAACATAACTCATTATAGTGAGAAATGAAAGACATATTTGCTACACCCTATGTTATTTTGCTTAAGCCACAATTATTCTACTTAAGCCATAGTTATTCTACTTAAGTCATAGTTATTTCGTTTAAGCCATAGTTATTTAGCATAAGCAAAAATTTTTTAATGTAAGGATTTTCTTACTCTTATATTTGCATAAGTGAATAGTATAATATCTTGAATGACTCAAGCAAAATAATTCTCATAAGTCATGTTTGTCTTATAATTTTCGCTTAAGCTAGCAAAAATGGCTTAAACAAAAATTGCAGAAATTATACGATGTAGAATTGAACATTTTGTAGGGAAAAAATGAGAAAAATATAAAAGAGTATTGAATAATCTGTCAACACAAAAGCTCATTTTCATAATGAATTGAGACTCTGAGAGTGGATGTGAAAGTTTAAATTTTAAAAATCATTAACTTCATACATAGGGTTTGTGGAGGACCTTAAGGATCTAAAATTACATTCTAACATTCTATTGATTCAAAAGTTGTTTTTAATTATATATTGAAACTAATGCATACTTTTTTAAAAGCACCACTTAAATACAAGATACACGACTCCTTAACCTTGATAGGAAGATGACTTATTCAAAAATTCGTGCATAAGGGTAAGGAACTTTGGATGAACTAATGTGAATAGGTGTAAGTATCATTGCTTGGAAACACCCAATGCTGACCACACTAATAGACATAAAAGCACATGTAACGCCAATTGATTAAGTGGCGTTAAGCATCCCTAGTGTTATGAAAAGAAAGTAGATCTTGCATCCAACCAAGTCTTTGACAAGGGAATGGGAGAATTTCCACTAACTTTGGAAGGCCAATCAGGCAATGAGTGCAGTGGGAATAGGCTTCCCAGAGTCAACCTAGAATGAAGGGATAGACAGAGTTTGGAAAAGATAACAAGATTTTGAAGATAGAAGATAACAGGTTTTAAAAATATATTAAATTAAGAGGTTTTGAAGATTCAGAGAGAAATATTATTAATTTTTACGAAGGATTAAATGATAAATATATAAAAATTAATATTACTAGGTTACCAGTCGAAGAGCTGCCATTTATGAATTTTAAAATACATTTAACGGTTTAAAGATTATTAATCACATGTGAATTACTTAGTTTGCTAACTCACTCTAACCGGCCTATAATTTTAAGAGTTAAAATAATGTATTAATCATAAATGAAGGGTTGGAACATAAAAGAATACGAGTACAAGCATACCGCCTACAGTTTCATTCTTCAAAGTAGGGTTTTGGGAGAAAAAAGAAAAAAAATTTAAATAAAAAGATAAGTTAGTTCCTTGAAAAGGAGAAAAAAATAATAATGTAAGAAATTGAATTTATTATTATATATTTAAAATGTTTGTTTTATAAGTAAATACAAAAATTAATATAAAAATAATTTTTATCGATCTAACTATTAAATTATAATTATATATTATTTAAATTATTTGTGTAAAATTTTTGTCAAAATTAAACATATATAAAATTATTGTCAAAGAGTCTTTATTTTATATATATTTTAAAAGCATATATTATATTAATTTTGATGTATATTAATAAATTATTAAATAATATTGAATTAATATAAAATTTTTCATATATAATTTTTGTAGTTAAAACTTTTAATTTAATAATTAGATTTATGATTAAATTATCTAACAAAAAATTATTAAACATTATAAAAGTAATTATAACTTAAATCAGTATAATTTGACTATTTTTTATATTTAAAAATTTATTCATATACCTCAATTGATATATGTGGTGAGAAAAAAGAAAGAAAGAAAGAGATGGAAAGAAAATAAAATAAAAGAGAACAAAAGTATAATAAATAATATGAAGTAATAATTTTAGAGACTAATTAATTGCTAAAGAATTTTAAATATTAACAAATAACATTAAATTAGAAAAATAAAATTTTCAAAAATAAAAATAAATAAATTTCACTTTTAAAAAATTAATTTTTGTATATACTAATAAAAATATGCTCCTACTTGAATCTTATGTCAACTAAATTTTTATTGTTTCATTTAGTCAGATTTTTGTTAGACGCCTTTCACATATTTTTTGTGTAAAAATTATTTAATAACTTATAAATATTTAAAATATTCAGTAAAATATATTAAATACTTTTTAATTGAGACTTGCTAATAAAATTAGTCAACTCTTTTCCTTCCTACCAGCTGTCGACTTCTCTCATGACTAACTATTCACACCTTTTCTTGTTTTGGCTACAGTTTCATGCTTTTAAATAATTTAAATAAATTACTTTATTTTTATTTTTTTAGAATTTTTTTCATTTATTGTTTTAAAATTAAAAGAGATAAGTTATTTTTAATTATAAAAAAAATTAATGATTTTTTTATATTTTTTCCTATAAAAACTTTTATACAAATTTACTCAAATTAGACCTTGTCTTTTTCTACAATCGTAATTAAATTAAGCACAATTTAGATAAACGTTTAGAAATATTCTAATAAAAAATTAGTATAAAAATAATAATTTTTTTATAAATTAAAAATAGTTTATCTTTTCACGTTTTAAAAAAATAAAGTATTCTAATTTTTTAAAAAAATATTCATTTTTTATAAACTAGATCTTACTCACTTTTTCAAATGAATTCTCTCATACGTCTTATAATGAACTTTCTTTTATTCTCCATACAAATAACCGCTAATAAATTAAATGTAAGTTAATGGATTAAAAAAAAAAAAGTTACAACTGATTTATGATCTAATAGAAATATATTTAAAAAATTTACTTCATCAATAACTCATTAATGAAAATTGTCCCATCTATCTATTAATTATTTTTATATATAAATATCTAATCTATTCATTTAAAAATAATATATTTTAAATTTTTATTTTATGTTTTACCTATTAAAATTTTCATCACGTCAAAATAACTTATATCTCAATTCATTCTTTTATCTCCCAATCTCGCTAATGTAACAAGATGAGTTGTAGAATATTAACGTGATCTTTTCGCGTAAAAACCCATGATAAGTTATTCTTACTAATCAACTAGCAATTATGTAAGATTGTAAATAAGAAATAAAGAAGTCAATAAGACTATTTTTCTTAATAATAAATATTATTTTTATCAAGTTATGTCAAGTACATGGCAAAATTAACGAAACTCTAAATTCAGATAGTATATATTAACCACAGGAAGTAAAGAGCCATCATTTATTCAGAGGTTGAGCTGTATTCCTTCTGATGTCAAGGTTAGGCAGTGACTAGACCAACTTAGGAAGCGTTCAATCCTTGTTGATGTGATCTTCTAACGTAACATTCTCATTGTTCATTGGACTGATTGTTGCTGTTGCTCCTCCATCAGTGCTAAACATTACAAGGAATCAAATTAGTTAATCTCCACTTCAATTGATCAATGGAAAAAATCTCTTAAGTTAAAAAATAAAATAAAAACCAATCAAATATTAAAAAAGAAAAGGAACGAGCAGTACTATGAATAAGGTGGGTACACACAACTTCCAAAACCTGTACACATCAAAACGAAGCAAGAAAAAAGATGAAAAGGTTAATCAACCATAAACACAGTGAGAAGAGAAGATGGATGAAATGTTATATATATACTTGGATCGGTTACGGCAATGGTGGCAGCACCACCAAAATTACACGAGCCAGGGGCTTTACGCATGCGTTGATAGTAGCTGTCAAAAGCATAAGAAGCATGATTTTGTATGGTGTTTGGGTTAAAGCATGAGCCACCGGGCTGAATAGGCCTGCAATTAGCTCCATGTGAGCACGCATAATTCAACCCTGCACTTAGTGCTGAGTAGCTAGCGTCACTCCTCGCCACACACCAAGTTGCTTCCACATTCTTCATCCCTAACATCACAAGGGTTAATATCAGTAGAGAAAGCATTTTGTTTCGAGCTGATGTTGCCATAAGAAAGTTTTATTTAGGTTTGGTGTTGTTTTGCTTTCTTAGTTGTGAAGGAGTACCCACTGAAACACCAATTTATAGTCATTGTGAACATGCTAAATATTTTGTTATAATTAATTATTTATTAATATCACCTTTTGTTATAATTAACTCTTTACTGAATTTTAACTGTTACATGCTAATACACTTTTTTTAAATTGAGATTAGGTTGGTTAATTCTCTCTCCTTCCACCTGCCACTTTTCCTACTTCCAACTTCAGTTTCATACCCAGTGAATGTGAACTTGAGATATATTAATTTTTTATCACTACAATTAATGGCACCGACTTTTTATTCTTTTTTCTACTTTCCATTCAAGCACCCTGTGAAACAGTTACGCATGTCAATTTTTTAAAACGTCTAAAGAATTAAAAATAAAAATATTAAAAATTCATTTTTATTATTTTCAATACATTCTAATATAATTTTAACAAAATTTAATTTAATAATGCTCATACAATTTACGAAAAATAGTAATTGGAGATAATAAAAAAATAAAAAATGACAAAGATCATAAAAAGCAACTTTCATATATTTTTTTTCATTTTCTGACCATTTTTCTGTACAATTCAATATTTTTCCATCTTAATAATACCATTTATTTGGTTAGCCACCTCAACAGGGGCGCGATTACAGTGTAGATTGAGGTTTAGGACTCATGACCCACCCAATTTTTTTAAACTTTTACATTTCATGTGTAAATTTTAAGTAAGAAAATAGTATTTTAATTTCATCCCATCTTTAACATTATATATATATATATATATATATATATATATATATATATATATATAATAAGTTTTATACTATAAATAAAAATACTCATATGATAAGTGAAGCATTTAATGAAATTATTATTTTTCACAATTTAACATGTGTATTTTTTAAAATTAAAATTATTTCAAAATAATGTTTAAATTATGCATTATTTATTATAATAATATTTTTATTTTTTATTTTATTTTAAATGTTAAATATAAAATATTGTTAGTTGATATTTTTTTGTTACTTTATATAAACTTTCAAATTTTCACAAATATCTTTATTTATATATAATTTATAAGACTTAAAGTTTTACTATATTAAATAATAATAAGATAAAATTAATTAAAAATATCAAAATTATAATATAATATTTTTTATTAGCATAATATATTAAACATAAAATTAAATATATTTAAAATTATAATATTCTAAAATTAGTAATTATTTACGAATATCACCTTTTCTTTATTTATAATAATCACTACGTTAATTCCTTATTAAATTTTAATTAATACAAGAATGTTAGCACACACTTAGTTTGTTAGCAAGTGTATTAGTCAAAAACTAATAAAAGAGATTTTTGATTGAGTTCTCAAAATATTATCTCACGGATATTGTTTCTAATTATCAAGACTATCGAGATCAGTTTTACCTTTACACTCTATGTTCACTTTTTAGTTTAACCCAAATCTTAAGTTTTTTAATTGAGATAAGTCTGTAATTAGGTCATATTTTACAGCTTATATATTCATATTTGACCTTTATTTTATTTAGTGTTTACACTAATTTATATATTAATTATGCAGTTTGGTATAAAGAGGCCGTAAGTATACTTTAGGTGCGTTTTTGGGGCCAAATTGATAAAATTAGAGCTTCACAGTAGTCAACATGCTCAGACCCTTCCAACAAGCACGGGGTGCTTCAAGCCCATGCACGGTCGCGCTCATCTGTGAGAAGTCTAATTATGAAATTTTTTTAGGGTTTTCAAACTCTATTAAAAGGGAGATCTCAGGCATCATAAAGGGGGACCGTTTTGACACCTAGTCTTTGACACTTCTCATCTGCTTTCTCGTGCATGGGATCATTGGTACATGCTTGACGAGACTTGGAGTTTCGAGTGATTGTACTTGAAGACGGAAACTCATCTCATTCTAATTTGCTTTTCTTTATGGCTTTGTTTATGATTGTTTTAGTTTTTTTCTTTAGCATGAGTAACTAAGTCCATGGTTAGGGCTATGAAAACTATTGTTCATGAATTTATGGGGTTTTGACGTTTGAATCTAAATTTGAATTCCGTTCTGCGATTAGATTTTATCCTATTGCGCTTTTCTCTTAATCCTAATTAATTATATCGTCAGGCTGTCGTACCTCGGTTAATTAATAGATCTATAGGGTAGAACATGACAAAGGATTAGGTGGACCAAACTGATCTTTCTTTTCTAATCGTTATTAAATTAACAAGTTCATAGGTTTCTTAAGCTTTCTTAAATTGATGTCTTGCATGATCATTAGGGATGTTAATTTAGAGAAAAGAATATTAATATTGCATGACCATTGGGTATTAATAGTATTCGTATGAATGATTGGTAATCACAAGAAAATCGGATTTAAAGTTAAATAGAAAAATAACATAAAGGATTGAATGAGAAAACACATATGCCCTAGATTCTTCTCCGATAAGTTTAACCAAGACGTGCATTGTATTCCTTGCTCTTAGTTTTATAATTAATTTTATAAATTCTTATTTTAATTAATCTCATATCTTTGAAGTTTAAACAATTGAATTAGGAAATTCTTAGTAATTGGAAAACAATCATTGTAGGACGATATTTTGGGAACTTAATTTAAGAACCCTTTATAACTTCTCGATGAGCACACTTGCCCTCCGAACAAGTTTTTGGCACCGTTGCTGGAGATTGCTTTTTCAATATTAAGAAAATCTCAAATTTAATTGATTTGAGCAATTTGTGTTTTATTTTATTTTAATTCTATTTTGTTTATTGTTAAATTTTTTCATTATATTTTATAATTTTTGTTTTTATTTTATTTTAATTTTTTTTATTTCACAATTTCTTTTAATGTATGCTCACTTGTTCTAAGTGCTCTACAACTTGTTTATTTGATTCGGAGATTGAAAGAACAGTTCATAGACAAAGAAAAGAAATGAGAGAGCAAAGAATGACAGAGGGAAGGAGATTAATTCAAGAATACATGACACCCACTGCTAGAGGCACTCTTGGAAGTATCGCGGCCCCTAATGTGGAGGCAAACAATTTTGAATTGAAATCAACACTCATAACCATGGTCCAAAACTCCATACAGTTTGTAGGCATGCCAAACGAAGACCCCAATCTTCATCTGACAAAGTTCCTCCGATTGACAGATACCATCAAATACAATTGAGTCTCCAACGATGCTATTTGACTCCGTCTTTTCCCATTCTCAGTATCTGAAAGGGTGAATGCATGATTTTCCTCACTCTCAGCCAATTCTATCACAACTTGGGAGGATCTCACTCAACAATTCTTGGGAAAGTACTTTCCCCCATCAAGGTCCTCTACTTATGACGGAGATATGTCGCTTCCAACAATATGAAGCAGAATCCTTATTCGAGGCATGAGAGCGATTTGGAGAGCTTTTAAGGAGATGTCCCTATCATGATTTTCAGACGTGGAGACAGGTGCAAATCTTTTACAGTGGTCTATCAATCACCACCAGAGCTATGATTGATGCCGCAGCAGTAGAGTTTCTTATAAGAAAAGATCCAGATGATGCATACAAGCTAATAGATGAGATGACATCTTCTATCTTTTAGTGGCACACCGTTGACTCTTACAACATCAAGCGGAAAGAGACTGCCCCAGTCCACCAAGTAGAGAGCAGCAGTCCATTAATGAACCAAATGGCAGCCCTTGCAAAGCAACTAGAATCTTTAATGAAAGCTCAAGACTAACCTGTAAGAGCTCCTGCAAGCTTAAAATTTAAGCAAGAAGAGGCAAACTTCATGGGTAATCACAATTTGGGGTGAAGGAGTAATCCTCCTAACTCTTTGGGGAATGGCTTTGGAAGTCAAAATTCAAGTGTTTATCACCCTCCTCATATGCAAAGTTAGGGAGCAAGACCAGAAGGAAAAGAAGCTCCTAGATCTCAGTCCAACTTTCAAGAACAGATAATACAATATGTGCATTACTCTGATAAGAGGATGGCAAAGTTTGAATCCAAATTGGACCAACATATTAAGAGAACCGATAAGAAGTTCGCTGAGGTCAAATCTGAAATACAAGCCAACTCTTCTAAGATGAGTGCATAATTGGAGCAAATTACGAACCTTCTGAGTCAAAGAGTGATGGGAACATTGTCGTCTCAGCCTGAACCTAATCCAAGGGAGCAATGTAACGCTATCACCCTTAGAAGTGGAAAGAAATTATAAGAATAGCAAAACAGAGGCATATGCACGCCCATGCTTGTTGAGAAGTACGCCTATGTTGATTTTACATGCACACCCGTGCTTACTGATAAGCACGCCCCTGCTACAATAGAAGCACGACTGTGCTTATACAAGCACGCCCATGACAGTGATAAAAGCACGGCCGTGCATCACTATGAGCAAGACCGTGCTTTAAGCGAGGAGCCTAAAAAAGAAAAGAAGGAAGAGCCTCTTGTTCAACGAAGCCCTATCCTATGAGCCTAAGATACCTTTCCTACAGCGGCTGCAAGGTCGCCCTCCTTATGATGAAGTTGTTCCACAAGTTCTTAGGCTTATTGGGCAAAGTGCACATCAATATGCCTTTCATTGATGCTATCTCCAAAATGCCCAAATATGTTAAATTTTTAAAGGAGATTTTGACCAATAAAAGAAAGTTGAGAACACATGAAACTGTGAAGCTCACCCAAGAGTGCTCAGCTATAGTCCTTAAAAAGCTTCCACCTAAGGACCCAAGAAGTTTTACTATTCCTTGCACAATTGGAAGAACTCATATTAATAAGGCTTTATGTGATTTAGGAGCAAGTATTAATCTTATGCCTTATTCTGTTTTCAGGAAGCTTGGAATGCATAAACCTAAGCCGACCTCTATGTCACTTTAGCTGGCAGATAGGTCGATCACATACCCCAAAGGCATAATAGAGAACGTATTGTAAAAGTTTGGGAGTTTATATTTCCTGTTGACTTTGTGGTACTTGACATGGAGGAAGATGAT